AACGCATCTAACTTCTTCAGTTGTTCTGCTGCTTTCTTACCTAAAATTCAAACACACTTATTACACCATTCATGATCCTATAATACCTAAATCCCACAACTTATTACACATGAGACTATATTTAATAAAGTTTATTAGTAACAATCATATGAAAGAACATGGACAGTAAGGAAGTATGCAAAATGGCGTATGAAATATCGACAGCAAAAATAAAATGATGAACTGTGACATATAGGTTTCCACAATTTAACAAGGACACGCTTTATTTATAACAAATCATAATTCAAGAAAAAGCGATTCAAAAATTCAATACCTTTTTCATCATCTTTTTGAATAGACTCCTCTAATGTCTCATCGAGAAGAGTTTTACTGCTATCGATCCAATCGATACACTGTTTTCCATATCCCATTTTGATGAGACATTCAGCGCATCGTATAATCACCTAATTCAATAATGTTCCATCCGGTAAACGAATAAAGGAACTCGAAAAGTTCGCAGTAACAAATCACAATAACTGGCGGTATAACTGTACTGTTATTACCACTTTCATTCGTCTGTTCAAAATTTATCGGTAAATGAATTCCGTAATGCGTGTTTTTGATTGCACAAAACCGAAACCTTCAAATTAGTAGGGTCAAAACGTCTAGCGAATACGCAGTCACGTGCGGCTGAACGCAAATTACCAAGATGGACATTTGCCGCAGCTCGATTACCAAATAAAATTGAATTTATATTGCGATCAGTCGACATTTCTTTGATCCCTAAAATCAATTATTTCACTCATTGAAATGTCCTTCAAATCGTTTAGCTTTAGCCATGGATGGCACTTACCGAGGCCGAATTACTGCTTTCGATTAAGCGAATTTTGGCACCAAACAAAATTCTATGAATAGGCTAATAAATGAATGAATTTTTATAAATATCCGACAAATTCCATTACAATAAGAAACGTTCAATTCACGGAATATATGCGTAAAACAGCCGAATATCACTTCAATTAACTAGAACAATCTTCAACCGTTCAATATCAATAAACGTAATCTGCACGAGTTATCGCTAAATATAATTTTAAAGAATATGACGTACCCATCAAAAGATATTAACCAACCGTTCGTATAACAATCAATAGCCCATCGATATTTCTTAAACCTGAAGTGCTTATTACCCTCTTCTTTACTCCATTCAGCCTTCTCGAGACGATCTTCTTTTTCAGATTGATCGTATTTCAACGCCTTTAAACAACCATTTGAGATCCAACAAAATTCACAATCATATATAAGCCTCATCATCAAACAAATACGGCCGAGCTTCTAATATCATCATTATAATTTCATAATTAGTGCCACTTCTGTTCTGCCATTAATATCCAATAATTCATGAAATTGAGAAAGTACAAGCAAAGCATCACTAATTACTTTCAATACGTAAGTAATGCGATCATAAAATTCTTTCCGAGATGCTTGAAAAGCAGCTAAGAGAGTCAACTTTGAACAATAATTGTAATTGTTTTATAAACACCTGTAATGCCTGCACAGCCTCAGAATATTCACCATGTTCATCAGCTTTCAGTTCAGTCATAAAGGCCGGATGCTGATCTAAATCACGACACCATTCATCAAAATCAAATGGCTTACGTTCATCATTTGATTTCTAAATAATAATCAATCATTATTCACATTCTCAACAACATTTTGTTTCCGTTCAANTATAGGCAACAATCATAATAACGAATGAGAATTAATAACAATCATAGTAATATTAATAACAATCATAATAAATCAACAAATCAAAAATGGGTAAATAACCTTTTGACTTGCCAGACTTTCGATAAACACATCCAAATCTTCATCAAGTTTCTTAGCCAGTTTGGCTCTTTCCTCACCGCTCATCACTTCTTTCTTTGGTACCCCCTCTACCCGTTTCATTTCTGATACTTCTTCAACCCTTCAAGGTCGGCTGAACATAGAAGCAGCTGAAGTTCAAATTTTAGCACTGTTGCTGATATCGGGTGCGACACGCGCGCATGTGCTTAGGCAACTGCGCATTACTTCACACGCACACATAGTAAATAGAGCCGATAACTCATCTCTAGGGTTTGCACGAGATCCCGGGATTACAGTTCAGATTCCGATCCCGGGATTGAAAAATCGTTGAGATTTTGCAAACTACTTATCTCCTCTCTCATAAGTCTCTTCTCTAACGATTAGTGCATTTGCATAGCTATAGTGGAGAATTTGACGGGTTCCAATGCAAACACATACGATCTCCTCTCTCAGAACTCATCTTGTTCTCAATGGGACAACGATCATGAAACAAAGTTTCGAAAGAGGAACATCATTAAAACTGACCTCACAACAGAAGTCTCTTTAAGAGATCCGTAAAAAATTCGTGGGATTATTCACATGGCTAATTGTAACGATAGTAATATGTACTAATGATATAATAGAATTGATTAATTAAATAAAAGAAATTCATTTAAGAACAACGTTCATTCACATGATAATATTTATTTGACTCATTATAAAAACATATTGCATGAAAAGAAGAAAGCTATATGATAAGAATATTATAGTATGGCAAATATTAAACAGTGACCGAATGAAAAGAATATATGGCAAATACACAAAAATAACGTAAATATTTGCTTGAGACAGAATTATCATACTGGATTATTTGCTGCAGAGAGATGGAGCTACAAGTAGTTTTATATGACTGTCGTTCGAAATGCAAACATATAATACATGATGGAATAGTAGGTGTATGTATATGAGAATGTGGTTTGAGATTAGATTGTGATGAGCATTTGCAACACAGAGACTATCGTAAATCCGTTTAGTGCTTTCTTTTTACACTTCAATCGAATTTATTTATTTCATTAATCGCTGCACTTCAAATACGCGATTCTTTTTAACGAACGCAACCGTAAATTAGAACTCACTTATTTCATTGCAAACTTATAGTCAATATGCGAACAGTGACACTCTCAACTGAACGGTTATCACGAAAAACACCATGAATATTCATAGCGAATGCTATATAAATAGATCAATCATAACTCACTTAACAGAGCTGAAAGGCAGCAAGAATGAGTAAAATAGCTAGACAAATTGAGAAGCGAATAGCAACACGAATGAATGAATGGATAAACACCAAAATGAGAATACAATCAAGGAAAAGAACAGAAGGAAAAATGAGCGGTGACACGGAAATATGACGATCGGATCATATCATATGTATCACAACAATGCTTAAAAGTAAACGAACTAGGTGTGCGTATCATCACTGATAATCATGCAAAAAGAGGATGACTGAACATTAGGTATGAATAAAATATATATAATAATAAGCACATTTATGGATTAAGTTAGTATCAACATTAGTCGTTCACGAACATGTGTCCTTACGCAACACCCAAAATAGTTATGCGTCTGCAAACATTAATGCTCACAATAAAAGGATCGAGGCAAATACAATAGAAAAAACATAAAAATGTACACACACAATACGGATCAAGTGAGCATATTAGCATAGAAATACAGTATAAGCATACAAGCGTATTGTAAGCACAGCGACGTAGTAGACATATAATGCCCGTTTAGGCGAACTGCCATCACAGTGCAAAAGAGAATCTCTTATACACGTACGAAGAAGATGTTTTGGTTGGTAAAAATAAAGATATTCAGAGGATATTGATGAGTAATGAGCACGAGAAAGATGTGGGTGACAGGGAAGGGAGGGACCTGAATTGAGTGTATAGGTACATAAACATAAGAGACATCAGATTTATCATCATTTCACAATGCAACTATCATGCCATCATCAGATCATCCAATTGATAGTGATTATGGAGAGAAGTGATCGGAGTTGGATGATTGCTGATAATAACTGATATTCGAGAGGTGATAACTGAATGTTTAACATTATGTAAAACATCCAATCATTGACTGCATTAGATCATAAAATGATCAATTAATAATCAAATAAGAGATGACTGCTGAATGAAGATAAATATCACTAGACAATAAGCATATTATTTAGGTAACGAGCACATCTTATACCCGAACAGAGAAGAGATATTGAATTTGCAATGAATCAATCAATCATACATATCACAATTCAGATCATTCACCCTTTTGATCTAATCTCTTTAAATGCTCCATCATTCATAAACTATCAAAAATTAATGAGATGAGACCAGAAGGGACTTGAATATCGTAACGAATAGCATTCATGATCAATCGCTTCATAAAGTATGCACCTGACTGAGATAAAGTAGTGGATTTGAATGAGAACATAGTTGATATTAGATTCATTATAGCACGAGCATTATTCACACGCAACAATTCTCATTACTCGATCAGCAATTTGCGAATAACGATCGTTTCTATAATGCAATCTAGTAATGAAATCTCATCTGAGAGGATAAAATGCATAAAAGATAATACAAATAATAACACAATAATGCTACACAACCGAATACTATCGCATTCAAACGTTTTGGCTAAAATTGATGTGATATTTTAATGAACCGTTTTTGTTGAGCAAGCTTGAATAAAACAACAAACAGAAAGCACACAGAACACTTGAGGTAATTTTTTAACGCTCTTTCTCCGAAAGGCTATCGTTAAAATGATGCCACACAACATATATATAACTCAATAATCTATTCACAGAAATATTAATGTTCACCGAAATGAGAATATACAAAGAAGAGCGTTATAAAATTACACGGCATTTATCAAATATACAATGAACATGACGGGATTGTGATTTATTAGCAGAGCTGTATTACACGACATGTGAACAGAACAGAAACAGTCGATTAATGAAAGACGTAAATGTAATAATAGTTGTGAATGATAGTGCTAGTGACCGAATGTATAACTGAATCGCTATCGACCATTCTAGTGATTCTTTCTAATCATTTCCAACCTTCTACTTCTATACAATCACTGGATCTTCATTTAAAAATCATTCGTATTCGCATAAAAATGCATCAAATATTACTACATTAGTTAAGATGAAGATACAATCAGGGAATGAGATGACAAATAGGATAAAGATTGCAACAAAGGCAGCATGACTGACCAGAAGAATTAAACCTTTGTGATGCTAATCATAATTAAAAAATCGAGAAGAGCGGCTTCTGAGGTTCCACACCCGCCGTCGCGTCCAAAATGCTATCTCCAAAGCGTGGTGCGCTTGTCATCACATGTTCATTTGAGGTTACGAGTGGCTGTAATCAATNTAAAACACAGAACCTATAGCTTTGAATATACAAGCCGAATACGAGAGTAAACGCTACCTTATTATTAACAACCTGCTGGGTGGCATTAATCTTCTCACGAATCGCAGCAATATCAGTTTTGGTGGCAGCAATCTCAATGATAAGTCTGTCGTGTTCAGCACGTTGTTCCACAGTCATCATATTCAGTAAACTGTTCGGCGATAGTGTTGTATCACATATTGTTGAATCGCCGTTCTTTGCGTTCTTTAAAATCAATGTTACGACATTGAAATGCTCATATTCAAAACGGCACTGAAGTTTGTACTAAGCGAAGTTCATAAATGCAATTGTTCTTTGAAGCAATAATCAAGAACGAACAGCAACATTCTAAAAGCAAACAAATGAACCAAATATAAACCTGCTTAACACTGGCTATAAGATTGGCAAACTGATGTTCAGCCTGATCGAGAACTGGTAAACGAAGAAGTAAGGTGTTCATCAGCGAAAGTGTTTCATGCGGTAACGGTTTACTCAGTAGCGACAGATCAATCAAACCTAAAATTGTGATACTTTTTTGGCATTAACAATAAAATTAAAAATAATAAAAATTCATATATACGTACATACATACCAGTCCCTCACAATGAATTCATAATTTCGAATTGTACCTACACACATACTTATAGCTTTTTTATTCGGTTATTCTTTTTTTNATACGTAATTTATCGGCAATCAGCTGTGTCGCGATAGGCATGCCATTGTCAGCACCGTACATCTGATTACTCGGTTGCTGCAGTGAAGCTGACGACGTGATTGAAGAAGCCCCCAACCCGAATGCGCCATTCCATTCACCTTCACCCATACTCAGACTATCCCAACCGTTCGTTCCAGCCCCACTATTCATCGCCCCTTTCATCATACCTCCACGCCTATCCCATCCTTCAATTTATGAAGTATCGTCACTAGCAATAGCTTATTAAGCTGATACTTTATTTACGAGATGTCTTGGAACAATATGTCATTCAATACCAAAGCAGAGTAAAATAAGAACCTGTCGCAGCGTTGTGATTGAGCATTGGGATAGTATTAGGCCAGTTGCGATTATCAACGGTTGAATTGATAAGACTGGCAGAACTGTTAACAGAATGAACTGATGAGCTGACTGCAGTTGGTGCTGCATTCGCTGGTGCTGTTGCTGGTGCTGCTGTCACTTTGACATCACCCCATCCCAAAGGCACTATTACACGACCTTCAATATGATAATACATTGCACCTTTCTAGCACATCACCTGACATTAGCAGAACAGTGAATTTAAAATAAATACCCGTAGTTTTGGTATTACTAGATGATTTTGAATCTTGAGGTGAGTTTGGATCATCATTTGCAGTTGTATCTTCTGATGATTCATATTCAGCACCCGGAGGAACCAACCAACGATGTATTTCAGCTGAAAATTCACTATCATTGAAATAAATTTCATCAAAAAAAATTCAACTTCAATCGAACATTTTACTCGACAGACTTTACTTTGTGGCACGACCAATCATCCAACTCTAATTAAAGATACAATATGTCTGAATTAACCCCACACAAATGTCATAAAGTCTAACTTGGTTGTTTTTCAGGATCACCCCAGATTGCAGTACCCGTATCTCGTTGCCACTTACGAACCTCTCCATTCGGATCTTGCCACATCGCGTTCTCACCCATAAACTATAAAATTAAGTCCATTAAACGCGATTCGCTTTCATTATTCATTTTTAAGGAACAGAATATCGACTAGCTTATGGAGAAGAAATGTCGTTGAATTACTCGACGAAATACGCAACACGAATGGCATCGATACCAATAATGCATCAAATGAAGAGTTTGATGGATATGGATTAAAACAGAAATGAAACAAAACAGAACCGAATTGCTTGTGTTTGTTTGTATTGGATTGAAAGCATTATTCATATTATTATTGTTATTAGCGATCGGTGATGACGGTCGGTTTTGGTTTTGGAATTGAGGATTGGTGAATGAATGCTGCTGAAGAGGTTGTATCGGGGGAGGTGGTGGCGCCATTCCTTGCTGTTGAGCTTGTACTTGCTGCTGCTTGCTCGCTATTTCGCCCATTGACAGACTATTCGATTGTGTCCATTGCGGTAAATTACTCTGCAAGTTATTTTGTAAACGCGAACATTGAAAGATTCGAAGAATGCAGCAATAATGATAATTAACAAACCCCATAATCCAAATTAGGTGGAGGTATACACATAGAAGATGCAGTGTTATTAATAGGTGTATTATGAGACCATATATTCTGAAGACGACTTCTCTGAGGTGGCATATTGGGTGATGAAATAGTGTGTGGCATAATAGGAGGATTGTTGATAGATCGTTGGGAGATGAGCGGTGTGGATGGCGCATTCCAGTTGTTTGCAGCAGCTGAGTCGAATGACGGTGCGTTGAAGGTGGTTTGTGGTAACGATGGCAAATACATTGAGCCTCGACCCCTTGCGTTTTGCTGCCATTCTTCAATTCAATCATTCAAGCTCCATTTTCGAAATGCCCAAACATAGTGTGCTATCGACTCAACTNTTAAACACTTCAACAACTGAATAATCGATAACACACTGTGTTCTCATTTGATATTCGTTCAAAATCATTTACCATACACACAACCAAAACTATTATTCGTACTGAAGTAAATGAAAATGATGTACCGTTATTCATAGGATTGAGGTAATTAGGTGGTGGGGGTGGCGGGCAATTGAGCGTAGGTGGTCGTTGCTGTATGTTGGGGTTCATAGCCGGGTTTGGCGCTGTGTTCCAGGCATTGCTGGGATGATCTTCACTGCTCAACCACTTTGTTTGTAATGATGACGCTGATGACAGATTGTTTCTCAATCCTGGTTGGCATACTGACATCGGTATATTCAGATCCCATCCTCTTGGTTCATCTCAAATCCATTATTCAGCACTGATACATTTATAATCAAAATGCTTCATTGGGATCATATGAAGAAACAAATTGATATCAACAAGCACCTTACGGATAGGTCTACAAATTAAAGTTTCACGTTATCGTCAAATTGCTTGTATATCATTTCATAAAAAATAACACATTCCTCAACAGCACATGTCAGCGTAATTGAAAACTGATTAACGAATAAAGTACACAGATAATCCGATAACTACAAAAATCACAAGTGAATACGCATACGGCTTTAATGTTTCCAATTCCAACTGCCCTCTAGTAATCTCACACTTCCATAATACTGAATGAATTATTTAAAAACCAACCTAATTCGGTTTGTCCCCAACCCATTGAAAGGCCATTCATGAAGTTTGCATTTTGAAACTGATTTGAACCTATAATGGGGCACAATTAATCACTTCATTTTCAATTCCAGATTCAGAATTTCTTCAATTTTCTAAAAATCTCCAGTAATGCAACTGAAAGCGAAGTTATATGTTCGAAACATTCACTGAGTAGTATTGACCAGACATGAAATTAACATCGAACGCAAACAATAAAAGGATATTGATTGAAGCCAATCCGATGAACTTGAAAGTAAACAATACCACTGGAAGAATCCTGATCTGTGAGTTGATTACTGTTTGGTGTCTGCCAGTTTTGGGGTGTAATACCGAGCGCTTCATTGATATTCGCTTCTTAAAAGATTACATCAGTCAAATTTTACTCACTGAAAATAAATGCAGACCAAATTGATAATATTTCACTGATCCAATAAACTTCATCATTGCCTATAAATTCTATAGACATTACCGAGTGATTTCGGTGGATCGCTCCAAATCACTTTAGCGTTGGAATTACGAAACGCTGGAGGGATTATTGAACGCATTTGCTGTTCATAGTTCATTCCATTACCGAATTCTGCTGCATTACCACACCACTGAGACTAAATTTTTACCATTACTATTACATCCGACAAGATGAATGGATGATAAGAATGGTACCTTCTGTTGTTCAACTGTCCATGGGCTCAATGAAGTTGTCTCAGCCGTTTGTGAGTTTTCATTCAGAAGCCACATAGGCGATAAATTATGGTGTGTTAGTGATGGATGGTTAGATGCTGCAAACTTCGTCTTATTAATGCTTATATCAATCCGCATATCAAGTTTTATTCGTACATAATTATAGCTGACCTATGAGACGAACAAAATGCTCAGATATGGTTCGTATGAAAACGAAGCACTGTCTAAATATGGAAAGTTAGTAACAGCATCGTATCAAATGAACTGAACGCGAGTGAAGAGGATTATAATTGGCTGTTTCGATTTGTGGATGCCAATCGACAGCTGTATAAGATTAAATGGGGGATGTATCACATGATTCCCTAACTGCTCTCGTTTTCCTAATTGCGACAAGCATTAGCTCACATACGACAGCGTACATCAGCTCATACAAGTGTAAATGCATTTGAACATATGCATCAGGGTTTCCAATAAATACAGTGCATTTGTATAGATGCACACACGTATCACACACGCACGTAAACATAAACCATATTTTCCAACTAAAAAAACGGATCACCGATTAAAAATTATATGGAGCTATTCAAAGTCTTCGATCGACAATCACAACCGCCTTTGACTCATTCATGACAGATTGTTCGTAATGAGTTGGTTCCAGACAATAATCAAAACAGTTGTTAATGTATAACACGCATTAATTGATAACTTACTTCACAACACGTATTTTGACAAAAATGCGACATTAAAATTCGACGGTAACCAGTTCACATATAAAAGCAGACACAACAAAATCTAAAGACAAACGAAACGTGAATTTAAAATTAAAAATAAACAAGACATCACCAATATCACTGCCCTATCCAACACTATTCTCAGCAATTCGATAGATAGTCCAGCTGAAAACACTCTCAACGGATATCTCACACACGAGACGAGTCTGGTTGGGCATGCGTTGCGGTTACTGAACGAACGCTTATCGCTTTGATGTTGTGTTTCCTTCAAGGATGTGTTGTTAGCAGCTCAATATTATTGGTTCAATTCATCATCGATAATACTACATATGATATCGTTGTCGTCATCTGAAAGTATCGTTGAGATTCATCTCAAGTTAATCATTAAAAATGATCTCCGATTAGCTTCACACTAACATCTAACTCATGAATTTGAACTAGTGATAATCAAATCATATGCAATAAAAGATTTGCGTTTAGATGTGATCGGAAGAGGAAAAGCATTCGAATAGAATTAAGCAATTAATAGAATGCAAATGAATATAAACAGCACTCAATAAGATATAATCAAACTGAGTCAAATAAACTCTCAAAACAACTTGCTGATGTGGGTGTATAGGCATCTCTCTATCAGCTCACTTTTCTGAGATATTACAACGCATAGTAGCATTATTTATGAACTCGAGCTTTATTATATAACATAACAGTGGCAGGGCATATCTCGTATTGATTCGTCATCAGCATCATCTCAAACTCATTCTTACTTCACTTCATTACTTTATTTTCTTATTTTATCACTCTAATAAGAGGTGTGTTCTGTTGCAAATTTTATTCCACTTGATTCTGTCCCGTTTTGACTTCAATAAAATGATCACTACCGAACGAATATTTCGAAATGATATATGGAATAAAAACAGTCTGGCTGTGCTGCATTCGAACACAGTCTGGATTTGCAATGTTGAATGAATCATTTTTGAATATGACGCTCAATTCAAGTTCCTTTAAGGGGTAACACAATGTGTGCACTTGAAATTTGTTTTTGCTTAATAATTTACATTACCACTTAATTGTGTACCGCACTCTTCATCGCTTGTTGCAGCCATAAAATACTGTAATTTTGACTCAATCTTTCTAATTAACAAAGTGAAGATTACTTCGCTGTTCAAAAATTTTAGTTCTCTTCTCAATAAATCATCTCAAAATATCGATCTTCTCATTGTCCCTCGGAGGAGCGATGGTCAACACGAAGAGGAGCGATTGTCTACGATTGTCTAAAATTTCGCTTTTTGCTTGTACTTTTGTCAAAATTCGGCTCATCTCGATGATAGAACAATTCCACTGCCTCAGCAATTGTCGAGGGAGGACAACGATGGGTCACTGGTGAGGGTTCCACCAAAATAATGCATCATGCTTTGGTTTCAGTGAGCTGCACTACGAACAAGTGCAAACGTGAATCAATGAAAATTTCAGCCGAACTTCAGAAGCGTTAAAATCAAATTGACCGAGTTTGAATCAAGTTGAAAATAAATTGAAGGTAATCATCAATCACTGGGTGTAGTGATAATCGAGACGAGATAATGGAATTGATGACATCACCAAGCTATCATCAAATATCACCGTTATCTAGATCATCGTCACAACTTCGCCACTTACAACAGCCCTTGCGACGTTCATATTCATATTCATACGGCACCAGTTCATATACCAAACCGCAGTATGGCTACGGTGGGGGTTATATGGCAAGATCACTTTCGAGAAGTGGTACATATTTATAATTTATTGCATTCACTGATCAGTCGATGCTGTCAGAAAGTAATGAATAATCGCTTTTCAAGGATCAAGTCTATTCGGCAGATCTCTACAAAGTTCGATACAAACATTTACTCCACCATTACACAGTGTTGGATTGCAGCGGAGCACACCACATTACATGGATAAGTATCCTTATGTAAGATATTCGTACGGCAACAATGATACCAACATTGGGCTGTTATCTCAGACTGAATCGGTATCATACTTCACTCACTTCCTCACTTTTCAACGAACAATATTTCAGTTCTGTTTCGTTAAATGATTACAGGAATGATCATATAAATCAAAGAACTTGCAACGAATGTGAATATT